CGCGAAATTGTTATGATAAAACGTCGACAAGTGAAATCGCATTTATCGCCGTCCTTTAATATTTCAGCTTTAATTTTCCTCCTCGGCGAATTTTCCCGTTTTGCGTCTGACAATATCTTGCGAAACATTCTTCATATTTGCATACGTGTGGTAGTGCACGTGCGTACACACGTGCACGCGTACGCACGCGCACATGCCGACTCGTGCCTTGTCTCTTTACTCTTTACGCGTATTGCAACGTACGTTTACGCAGCACAGGTGCGTAAATCGGAAATGTTCGATAAATAATTCATAAACAACGATACATAATCTACTAACACGGATAAACGAAAATTAATTAACTCTGTTCGCTTAATTGGAATATTATATTGCACTTTGAACCTTTAGATTTACGCACGTTCTGATGTCATCAAGCCGGATGTTCTCGGATTTAATGTTACATAATCGTATACTGAGTTTGTAAATGTTTTTTCGCTACTGCTGTGTTCATAGAATATTTCACTCATTCAAAATCAACAAACTTCCTTTCAGCAAAACATTTTTTTAATTCTGAATTCAATTTTTAATTAAAATAACGTTTTAATTAAGACTCTTATTCAATTACTCCTACTCAGAGTATGACGTCAGAAACGGAAAAATATAATATATAAATTCTTATAAAATATATTAATATAAAAATATATGTTTGACATAACTCAACAATTGAAATTAAGTAAGCTTTCGCTGTTATTGGTGTATTTTTCTAGATCATCCAATCAGATTTAATTCGATTTAAAACAATACATAAATAACAGCGAGCTTTTAACTGTGAGTTTGTTCCAAAGGAATATATTCAATATTAGATAATAAATAAATATATATATAAAAGTGAATTATTCATAAGTAAAAAAAATAAAATAAACTACGTTTATCATTATGATAAAGTATATATCAAATTAATATAGAAATTATTACAATAACATATAAAAATAAACATTATAATTTAATTCTCCCTGAAACAAGAAAACATCATTTTTCAGTATATTTTATGTCTGTTCTATTGACTGCAAATTGTTGCTTTATTGAAAATATTTCTATATTCAAATATAATTTATAGGAATTTTTATATTGTATGTTTTTCGTGTTTGATGTCACAATCTGAAATAATAGTGATGAATGAAGAAAAGCCTTAATGAATATATGTAATATATTCAACTTCAGCTTCTTTTCATGTTGCAATACTTTCAATTATATGTATTCAATAACATTTTCTTCAACCTAATTTTTCTACGAAATATTATACATATACCATATCAGTAGCGGATTTAGACGTTTTACGTCCTAAGCCTTGGATTCTTAGCGTCCTGTCTGAACATGAAGGAACAACCAAGAAAAAAGGGGACGGGGAAATCGCTTGACTATCGGAACCACTTCATCCATCTTTTACGCAATTTACAACAGAGATACAATGTCGCAACTGTCATTTGACATTTTTCGAATTTTATTACTTACTACGATATATGACAATAATTAGATTATTGCAATAATTACTTCTTACATTATTACAGATAGTTTTGCATTTATTTAACTTAATCTTACTCTTCTTGCTTTTGCCGCCGCAAATTCAACAATTATCTCCTCGGAATTCAATTTTTTTAATAATTCCGCATGAATCATTTATACATATAGCTAAAGAGTTTAATCTCTTCTGATTCATATTTGCCCTTAGGTAGCTTTTAACTCTTTTTAATGTTGAAAATAAACGTTCATTCGTACAGTTTGTTGGTGGAATATTGTCAAAAACCCTTAAGCCCGTTCTACAATAAGTCGGGAGCCGTTGTCGTATGTCGTGCCGTAAGAAATTGGCCAATCACAGTTGAAAACAATCGACCATGTTTGGTTAATTTGTTACGGCACGACATCCGACAACAGCTCCCGACTTATTGTAGAGCGGGTTTTCAGGCGATTTCAATATTTGGGTAGTTCGTTTTTTCTTAAAATATTACTTAATTCCTGAATCGCAATGAAATCTTTAGTTTCTTTATGAACAATTTGTAAATATTTGTTGAAAATAAAGGCATTTATCACATAAATCTGGCACTACTACCTCTGTGACGCCTCTAGGAGGATGGCGTCTTTAAGCCCGAGCCTTGTGGCCTCCGTCTAAATCCGCCACTAAGGTAATAGTTTTAAAGAATTACATGTAACACTGATCAACAAAAAATAACTTTCTTTTTTGTGAATTACCATAGAGCATGCCCCGAAGATTTTTTCGCACGTGTTTTTAAACACGAGACTGTTGGCAGAATATTTTGCATGGCATATCCAGAATTTTGAGTAAATTGAGGTGAAATTGATAAAAAGTGACATTTTCCTGACATGCTATGCAAAAAATTCTATCAGGCATCGTATTTTTTATGAAAAATCTTCGGAGCTAGAATGTGTCACGGCACTTTGAAGAAAAAAGTGATTTTTTATCGAATAATGTATTAAAATGCATTCTTCAAAATCTATATTTCATAAGTTTTCAAAATTCAAACGGTACAATACTCAGTGCTAATTTTTTATTTGTTTCACTTTTCTATCAACATGATACATGCTCATGTAAGAAAAATTATAATACAATATAGACGGCATTAAGATACACTGAAAAAAAAGATCAGTTATAATAATTTAGCCTAGATGACAGTTATCAAATGCCTTGGTGAAATAATTTCAATTAAATGTTCGTTTGATATAATTAAAAAATTTGTTAACTATTACTATCAAGATTTAGAAATTGGTAACAAAGCTAGATGATTATTATAAAATCATATGATAAATATAATCAAATTATTAGTAATCTTAAACGATATAATTTGGCATTTGTTACCAAATATATTAATTGTTACTCAAAAGAACTGGCAAATGTAACTAAATTGCGCGTACAACATATGGGGATATCGACATTTCTAACAATTATTTATTAATAGTTATCAAATAATTTGGTATTTATTATCAAATTAGTTAGAAATACCTTCTTCATATAATTTTACAATAATTACCAAATATTTAATTTATATTATCAAATTATTTTATTTCAAGTCATTAAATCATTTAATTGAACTACAACTAACTGAGCATTTTAGTTTTCTAAATATTTAGTTATTATTACTAAACGATTAGTTACTATTATTGTGTTTGGTTTTATTTATTAAATATTGCACCAATATGCTCAATAAAATGTATTTGGTAGCTATTACCAGACTTTTTTCTTAGTGTACTATCATTTATGATTGCTACTTGAATTGAGGATGAATTAATCGACCGGAGTCGTGGTCTAATAAAATTATTATATATATCAGCATTTCATCAATCAGCGATTGCCTCTCGCGGTAGATTTTCTCATTCAATCACTCATACATTAATCCAATTCGTTCTTATTCTCGCCTCTATTCCCCATGGGCCATTGAGCACTCGTTCTGTCCCATCGCACAGTGCATTGCAGCGAGGACTCGCACGCACGTGTATTCCTTATCGAATGATGCATTGATTAATCGCAGTACTTCGCATTCTCTGGTTACGGGGACAGATGAAACCCTCTTTTAGTTTTCTTATTTGTTACATGTATTTACCTATTTTTTTAAGGATGTATCAAGTATAATTTCTACAAAAGGTAGGTAACTGGAAAAATTTACACTTTTTGTAATGAATGTTATATGAAACAGTTTAATAAAGTCATAAAAAATCTAATTTTATCTTAATTTTCTTAAAGCGTGTCTACTTATTTATTTCTATATAATTGAAATAATTTTCTATTTAAACTATAAATCGACGTTAATCTCGAAATACAATATAGATAAAAACTGTAATTTTTTAATTTTTAAAAATATGTGTAATGTACATGTATTTTTAAATATAATACCGACGAAAACAATACTTTCCCTATCATAATATCTTATAAAATATTCATATTATGTTATCTATTTACTTTTGTAAACACTATGAGAAATATTCGAGAAATGTAAGATATCATAAATTATATTCAATTTGATTATAATTCATTAATTTTGTTTAATTAAATTAAATTAATTAATAGGGGATGAAAGAAAGAAACCAAGCGAATGTTTGGCGGAACATGAGAAATATTAGCTTGGTCAGAAAATTATAAAAACTGCTTCATAACTGATTATGAATGTGTATCACATTATCTCACAAATACAATGGCCTACATTTCTACGATAAATTCTCGTTTGCATTTACGGCAAACTTTATTTATCATAATTTATGTTAAAACGAATATACGGGTAATATTGTCGTTTTAGAAGAAACGAGTTTAAACCTGAACTCTGACATTTCCTATGAAAAAGAAATACGTAAAAAAAAAGCACTATGAAAAGGGATTTAGAAATATGGTTAAATGTGCGGCAAAATCAGAATTATTCTCTGAAATTTTCTATTATGATAATAAGCAGTTCATGTATACAGAATCAGACACAATTTGCGAAATGTCAGATAAGCAAACGTTTATCCGTCGCGTTTAAGACCATCAATTAAAATCAATCTAGTCGGAAGGGTAATGTCACCGGAATGGAAATTACTATTGCGTCAAGCCGGGCGTAATTACCAGTTGCTCATTAGTTTCCATCTCCGTGAGGGTTAAGTGCCTAGAGCACGCCACTCCGGAAGTCTTCTCCGTGATCACGACGAGGGGGTTGCGACGTAGGAGATGCCGCGGTCTCGGGTGGCTCGGGGATGATCGTGTGGGATCGGAGTACAGGACGTCGGTCGGGGTCATAAATGGGGAGGCGCGGCGTTCCGGAGCGGTATTTCGTCGCGTGACGCTGTTGCGTTCGCATCGATCCGCAACGAACGGCGCGAACGTAGGCGGACTGTAAGGGCGCGGATAAGAGAGGAGCACACGAGCCGAAAATCAATCCCGGCCCGTATCAGGTTCTCGTGCTCGCGGCACCGAAGAGAGTTGTTTCCTTACGAGACGGCGAGAGGGTAACGACGACGTGCGCGGACGAAAATCGGCCGCAATGCTGAAAAAGTTCCTCGGCAAATCCGGCCGCAGGATTCTGCGGGTAAGTGAGATATATATGGTCTCCGTTTTTTTTTTTTTTTTTTAACGAGACGTTCGATGAATGTTTTTGTTCAACGGATGTTCGACTTTTTCAATGTATCGCTCGTTTCCTCGATCGTTGCATGTTTCGTGGTACGATCTAATTTCCACCCCGTAAATGCGGCAATTGTTGAATCTAAATGTACACCGTGTATACCGGTCTCCGTTCGACGGACTACTCCAGTTTTGCTTTGCTTCGGGTAGCTTGAACGCTGAATGTTATCTATCCCACCCTCGTGATGTTCCATGTGAGATTTTAGCGGCACACACGTTGTGAAAGATTAATTTGCATGGTGCTGTTTACGTCATTCCGCCTGAGCGTGAAATTTTCCCGCGTGACGGTCAATTATTACGGATCGATGTTCTTAAGTGTTGTGACGTGTTGATGATGGATAACTCTATCGTGTAACTATAGTTTTATCAGCTATACGTAACTCCGTGACGACCTTTTTCGCAACGAGGTGCCCTTTCTTTTTTTTCTTTCGTCTTTCTTTTCCTCCCTCTTGTTTCTTTTTCTTTTCATTCGTGGTTCATCAGAGCGACGTACGCTTTCTCTTTTGTAGGCAATTAAGAAACTGTCCACCAAAAGCCGTAAGGCCAAAGGGTCGCATAATCCCAGCTCTTGGCATACAGCCATTCCGGATCTCGAAACGACCTCGCTCTCGTGGTCCCTGCCGTCCCTGGACGCCAAAAGCATCGACACGTATATGACGTACGTGGCCGAGAATCAGGAGGACTGCACGTCGAACTGTTGTTGCTGCGACGAATACGAGGAGAACCAAAGGAACGAGAACAGGGAGAACGAGATGATAATCTAACGTTCGTGCCTCTAGATGACACGGACCGGCGTCCTGATTCTCCTCCCCCGGCTCGTTTGTTTCGCGATCGAAATTCGCCGGCGATCATCCCCGAGAGAGTGGAAATGAATCGTACGTGCGCGCCACTCGATACGAATATTTAACCCTTAACTGGTGAGTACGAGTACTCGTCCGGCATTTTTTTTCCCTTCTTTTTTTTCAAAGAGTCTTGCAATAGCCAGTGCAATAGCTGTACCAAAGAGAATATTTATCGGGAACCTGTAACTGGTTAAGGGTTAATTACGATCCCTCCGTAATCCGTGCCACTCGCAACACATACACGCAACATACAGAAAGAACAGTTTTGTTGAAGTATGTAAAAATTTAGTGTGTTAAACACAAATCTGAAGATAATATTTTGATTTACTAAAATAGTTATGTAAAATACTCAAGCTAGTTGCTAGAGTGTTAAAACTGGTGGTTAAGGGTTAATCACGTTCCCTCCGTAATCCGTGCCACGTCATAACACATACACACAAACGTACAGAAAGACCAGTTTTGTTGAAGTATGTAAAAATTTAGCTAATCACAAATTTGAAAATAATTTTGTTGGTCTATCAAAATAATTACGTAAAACACTCAAGCTATAGTTGCTAGAGCGTCGAAATTTTTCGCAGTATAGATTTACTCCAGCAATATTGCACCACCATTTGCAATATATCTCAGCAATATTGTAATAACATCATGACTTTCTAGCAATTACTGCAATATATATATTGCAATAATATATCTAATATTATAGCATTGAGACATGAAGCATTGTTTTGGACAGTTTCTAATTTTTTAAATGAAAACTTTATAATTATTTTAATGATCCGATAAAATTAATTCTAGATTTTTATCTGCCTAAATTGTTAGATATTTCAGCAAACTTGTGCATGTACAAATGCATACAAAACAAATACATACGAGCGCTTTTACGCGCTTCTTTATTTTTTGATCGATACATGTCGCACGTTGAAAAAAATGAAAAATGCTCTGTGGCTGGACCTCGGATTATATTATAGCCGTATATTTCGATTCCCTTGGCGTATCATCGAGAGATAAGAGCGCGGAGAAGAGAACGTTTTATTTCCGATTAGTCTTCCAGTCTAGATTTATTTTTTAGCGCCGACTTGTATTATTCAGCGAGGGTCTCGTATCGGAGAACACACTCCACGGCTGACGCTCGCTTCGATCTCATTTAACGCTATAATTTTATGAAACAGACATATCTTACGTACTTATTTATTATCATAAATCGCTATTATCTGCTAAAATAGCCGTAGTTACGAGCGTAGTCGTATATTGACCATTAAGTTGGTCTGCTTGACGATCCAATTCTAGCGCTGATGTTGGAGCTTTCTTTCCTTTTTCTTTTATCGTTTTCTAGAAGAAAAATAGTGATGACAATTATAGTATAAAGATGGCAACTATACAAGTTTTATACAGGATAAAGACAAACTTATTATAGTACAACCGGATGGGGTGATTCCTTGTGTAAAAAGTCGAAAATACAGAATAAATTTTTTTCGTCCAAAGCTTTGTTTTCGAGAAAATCAAATTTGATCAAAAATTTTCAGAGATTAAAATTTTGTTGTAATTATTAAAGAAGTTAAAGGGAGGTGAATATTATATAATCAGAATCCATGAATTCATTATTTGACGAGCATAACTTTACGACTTATGATAGCAGAAATAACACTTTCCTACACCAATTTCTTTCTTAATAATATAAATAAAGTTTAACTATTTATCGCATTTTTTTTTTTTTTCTTTGATTCTGTCACTTCCGTAGTTGTGCGTTGTTTAAACATGACAACGTTATTTTTTCTCAAACCACATCTTGATTAAGTGCACGTACATATTTAATTTTCAAACTTGATTTTTTCGGAAACAAGTCTCGGACGAAAAAGGTTTATCTTGCACTTTCGATTAATTTTTATACAAGAAATCACCTCCCTTCTCTCTCCTCCCGACCAATTGTACTATAAGTTTCCTACTTTGTTATGTAGAATTAATAAACACAGCTAGACGAACTATCTTACGAAGCCAGTTTGTATGATTAGTGTTTTTTACATTTTCAAGAACTAAATTTTGATCTATGTTTCAACATATAGCCTCCTGTTACAAAGTGACATATCAAACTGCTTGCGTATAATTATTGCAACTGTGAAATAGTTTATTCATTTATCTGGATTAGTTTATTCAACTATGTGCGCTAATTCTACATATAAAATTTGTATAATTGTCATTTACATTTATATAGTCACTACCACTATATCTTTTTCTAAGTACGTCGCGCGAGTGAGGAAAGGAGCAACGCGACGCTCCGCGCGTCAACGTCTCTTTCGACATAAAAAATAGCAATACATGACGTAGTACAAAAAAAATATATCGCCTAGCGTGTTATCGACAACCGTTCGCGCGCGGGAATGACGTCCGAAATAAATACATATGATTAGGACTTTTTCCATCCGCGCGGTTTTATCATATCGGGTCTAACTCGTGAATCACTATTTTGCAATATACTGTTTTCGGTGTCACGAACTTGAAAAGTTTTTGAGACAGTTAATTATTTATTCTTGCGACTCTCTCGCGAGTTCCCTATGTGTCCTAGACACGCATATCCACGGGACCTTACTGTCTAGGTAATTTAATGAGTCAATTCTAATTAAAATCGTAAAATTCGTAAGACTTGTTCTTGTAAGACCTGTAAGAACTTATGTCTGATGTTGTAATTTTGTGCATATGTATCCTAGAATCGATCATTCGTAAATATTTAAGATTTCTCATAAATCTTACGGCCAGCAAGATATTTAAAGTTATAAGCACTTGTAAGTTCTTACCTACAAGTCTCATGAACTTTTTACAATAAACCATTAAGCTTATAAAGCTTTAAATTTCAAGCCTTAAGAAATTGATTATAGTCGATTATTTTTCTCATATTCGACTGTGATTAGTTAATTTCTTACGACTTGAGACTTGAAGCTTAGATAATGACTTATTGTAGAAAGCCCCTTACGAGAACATGTTACGAGCCTTATGATTCTGCTTAGAATCTATAATTCTCTAAGTAATTGTAAACCCCAGTGGAGAGAAACTTCAGGGGACGTTAGACTATACCTAGCGATTAGAATAAGATGAGATTTAGGATAACGAGAAAAATAAAAACTATATTTACTTCTTCACTTAACTTAAACTATGCACTGACGCATGTCTTTCTGCGGCACTCGCAGTTGTATACGTATATTGACGAATCAAAATGTAAGATATTCGCTCGATCAATTTTGAGCAGGACGTTCTAATTGTACTCCCGTTATATATTTATCAGAGATATAAAGATTTCTAAGGGACAGTCCAAACTGTCTCTGAAACTCGATGTTGTCGTCACTTTTACGCTGTATAACCGTCCTAGGTGTTTAATATTTCGCGCGGTCAAGATGCGTTCGTTAGCCGATACATTCGACCCTCAATATAACTAAATCAGATTTTGATTCTAAGGACAAGAGTACACGATAGATGAAGTGTGACCGATTGTTGTGCAGTTTATGGAAAACAATTAAAATTATTCAACACAAATAAGTGAAAAGAACCATATGTGGTCAGGTCTTGATAGCTATAATAATATTTTTACGTGAATTTTTCTATTTTTTAATTTAAACAAACTGTGCGTTGATTATTTATTGCTCTTAAAATACAGTCTTAGATTGAAGGTGGAGTAATATCACAAATTCAATTGACAAGTAATTTAATAGTACTGATACTGCTTATTGGCATCTTTAAAACACTATGAATAATTTATTGCAAAATATATCACTTTAGCCAGGATTCGAACCTGGATCTCCCGAATTTTGTAAATTAAAATTGTTTAAAACATTTGGGAGAAATTAAAAATTATAATGTAGTGATACATTTTGTTTTAATAAGCATTAACATTATCTTAACTAATTGCTATTTATTTGTTAATTACTTTTTCATAAACGATACAACAGTGGACCGACACTTTAGATCTGTTTTTATCCATACTCTAGAACTGAATTTCTTGTATGGTTTATCCTTTTCTCTCTCAAAAGAAAAAAAAGAACGTTAAACCATGTAAGTTTAGTCCTGAGGTATGAAAAAGGACAAACTTCGTTTATCATATACTCGTGTCCTAAAAGAGGATTATATTTTTATAAACCATTTTTATATTTCACAAACCAATTTATGTAAAACAAATGATTCTTTCGTAACTCATTTTGAATTTACTTCTTGCCAAGTTTGAGTATCGAGGGTATTTATGCAATAAGTCGCACCGGCCTGATTCACTCGAACACCGAATTCTTCTATTTTCGATCGTTTCCGGCACCTTTGCTCAAGCGCGCAAGATCGATATTCACTAAAATGTAGCAAGATACATTTCCATCCTTCTTCCTAGGGTTGATTTATTGTAAAAAGACAAAAAAAAAAGAAGAAGAAAAAGAAGAAGAGCTTTAATGACTTATATTGTATAATATCTATGTATAGATGCAGAATTTATATATACATATATATAAAAAGAGAAATTATAAATATGGATAATATGAATGATGCGTGTTGATATACTTTATCGTCTCGATAAGGCTGTGACTTTGTAAAGAGGATGTGAGTGTCGTAAATAAAATGGTTTTATTGACGAACCCGGACGTGTTCCCATGACCCCCTGTCACCATATGAGTTTCATTGATCGCCCGACGTGTGTAAGAGACATATATATGCGGCTGTGCACTGTACATATCGCACGTAATACATACGAGTATCGCAAGGTATACAAGAGTCCTTCGTTTGAATTGGTAATGATATCGATCGCACGATTGTCTCATTACAGCGCGCGACGCGGAGTAACGATCATTCTGGAGAAATATATAATCAGAGTTGGTTATAGTGCCTCTCGCGAGCAGTCAACTATAGTTTTGCCTCTATAATTTTTAGTGATTTTGAATAATGACAAAACACTCCATTTTTGCAAACCTTATTGTATAGCACAGAAGCGTGATAGCAACATTACTGCAACGTTTGCAATATTGCTGCAATATTATTGGAACGTTGCAATGTTGTTGCAATATTGCTGGAATTATTTGTGCTATATGAGAGTTTGTACAACAATATAATCTCTATACTTATAGATATACGGAGCTTTATTACGATTTTTACAATATCTTCATTTATGGATCTTTCAGAGACTCATTTTTCTTTCGATATCAGTTGCGATGCAGTAATACGACTGCAATGCGAAGCTTTCTTTATATTCCGTAATCTTTAAAATTATAAAGTTCCGTTTAAAATGAAGAGCTCCTTAAAAGATCCTCTTAAAGATATCCTTTTAAGATTCTTTTTAAGAAGATTTCTAGAGACTCACTTAAAAATCAGTTATATGACGAGTCTCAAGAGGAACCTGACGCAATATGGTTTCCTAAATAAACTACTTATTGTGTATAAGTAGCCAATTGACAAAAGTTGTTATTTTTATTTGAAATGTTTTTTGGTATGAGTGACAAAAAAATTGTATATTTTTTTCATTTAAACTATCAATAAAAGCTTTTTTAGAAATTGAAGAAATGTATTGTTTTAGTTAACGAAACGTGTATAATATGACAAGAGAAATACACAATTTCTATTTATTAAAATAAAATGTATTTACA